GGCTGTGGTGAACTAGAAGTAGAGAAGAGACTTTGGGAGCTCGTTGAGCCATCCCTCAGCTCAAAGGCAGGACAAACAGGTTCTGCAAAGTAATGATCCTCAATCCGTAATTAAGCCCGGAAAAGTCTTCCATGCCAGGCGCTCTTTTTTTTTTTTCCCTTTCAAATTAGATGGTTGGCAAAATTAAAAGTGGCACTTGAAATTTAATTGGAATTTCCCTACCTCCACCCCCAACATCTAAAGAAACAGTGATTCACTACATGTTGCAGAAATGGGATCCTTGAGATGGGAAGCTCTGAAACTCATCTTAATCGCATTTCACTTCTAATACTCAAAGTTCTGGAAATTCCTGCTTTTTTCAATATGGAAGCTCCCCACCTTTCTGGTTCAGGCAAAGCTTTTCTTCATGAATAAACTTAGAGCTGGAAAGCTCTTTAAACACAGTATGAGAGGACCAGGTTAATTGTCAAGATAGGGCCAGGGCTATCCTAAATATTAATGAGAGAAATGTGACCAGGAGTATAAAATAAAGGGGGAAATGAACATCTAGAACTTGCAGAAGTGATAAAATAAGCTTATTATAAAAGAAAAAAATACACCGTTTTATATTGGCAGAGCCTTGTGTCAGGAAGCTGGCTGCTGGTTGGAAGGTGGCCGGTGGGGAAGGACTCTGAAGCCTAATGATGGTGGGTGGGTGCCTGGGAACCCTCAGTCAAGAATAGCAAATGGGAGAAATGACAGAATGCCTGGAGGGATTTAAAAGCCGGGCAGACGAGGTGCTTAGGGCCAGGGTTTAGTGGTGGGATGGCAGGGTTAGGGGAACGGTTGGGCTTGGGGAGCTTAAAGGGCTTTTCCAACCCAAACGATTCTCTGATTCTAGGTGTAGATAGCCACAAATGGCAGGAGACTTGAAAGTATTAAGTAGAAATAATATGTGAAAGGGCAGAACACCTTCTGAACACCAGATGGCAGAGGTTGGAAACGAACAGCAAAGTGTTTTGCTCAAGGGTGGTATAAGGGAGGTTGATTTAGCATGACCGATGACACCTGACAGTACGTTAACAACAAACTTGGCCTGGCTTGGCATAGGTGATGTGTGTCCAGAGACAGTGATGTACGGCACACATTTGTTTCCCCTTCCTTCTCTATGAATAGTCATTTTCGTGGAACTGAAAATGAAAGGGCAGTGCTCTTTCATCTCTTGTGGTTACCAGCTACAGCACAGCCATCCATGTGTGTCTTCCATTTGGTTTTTTGGGTGACCTGTATTTACTCCAGCTCCCTCAGACCCTCTCTGGCAGTAATTTGGTATTGCTCTATGCTTTACTCATCTTTGGATCCAAATGTTACAGCAGCTGATGGCTAGATGACACTTTCCCAAAGGAAAAAAAAAAACCAAACAAATCAGGAAGTAAGGGTTTCCATATTCTCTTCCACCTATACCGACCATCCCATAAACTCATAAGCCAATGGTTAATAGAAGTTTACTGCTTAAGGCTTGCAGGTTTTCCCTAGAAAAATTTTGTTTTTCATCATTCACCTATCAGTCACAAACCAAAGGAGTTACGGGGGGAAGCTAGAAGCACAGGTATTTCTCCTGCCTGCTTTCCCTTGTGTCTGTTTCAGTGAATTTCTTAATAGTAGTGAGATTAAACATCTGTAGTATTGATGAAAATGGATTATGAACTGTGAAAAAAATTTCTGGCAGAAAGTCCATAGCCAACTCAAAGCCACACCCAGCCTTCCTGCTAACAAAGACAAAGCTAACTAGATGAGAAAATGCAATTAGATGGAAGGTTTTTGAAATCAGTTGCGAGCTCTAGTTCAGCAGTTCCCCAAGGCAAGAAAATTGGCTTTTGTCCTCTTTGCAGAATAATAGTTGTGGATCTGAGCTCACAGCAGAGGAGAGGAGAAGGAGCCCTTTTGGTGGCTTCCCCCTTCCAACGCTTCCTGTCTGGTTCTTGACACAAGTTTCAGAAATGTGGTGTGACTTTCATCTGAGCTACTAAGATGGGATTATTTTGTTTACCTTTAACAAGCTGTAAGCCCATTGCATTTATTTCACTTAATGCGCTATGCAGTTATAGACTCTGATGAATGGAGTGTGGAAGCGGAAAGGAAAAGCAGCGTTTGATACTCATGTTTCTTCAGTTGTCCCGAGTGGTCATCACTTGATAGTTACGTAGTCGGAATCTCGGTGACTCATTGAGATTTAAAAGACTGCGGGACATGTCAGCACAGCACAGAAGTTGCAAGACTTAGAAGTGGGTTTGGGGAACCTGTTTTGCCTAATTCTGAGCTCGCTCAATTGTTGTGGCTTCAGACGTATGGCAAATATAGTCAGGTTCCTAAGGACAAGGAGAGAATTCAGAATAACCGAGAGAAAAACAAAAAGGGAAGCAGAGAAATGGTGTGATGGGAAAGCAGGCTTAAAGAGGTTTCCTTGTGGAATATCTAAACCCGTACCAGCAAACTTGCGTTTGTCTTGGGTGGGATTTGTGCAGCAAGGAAAGAACTAGGATGCACGGAGGTATGTGTATCGCCGATGCATGCGGCTGGTTTCCCCAGAGTTCAGATGCATGGGAGGGGGAGATGGGGACTGCCTCCTGTCCTCTGACTTAATTCCTAAACCTTCAAAGATACCTTGACAGCCTGCAAACCCTCCACCTCTTTGGATTTGTCAGCTTCTATTTACAGCCTGAGCAGAAATCAAAGAGAGGAAAAAAAATATGTTTGACAGCTGTATCAGCAGTAGGTTTCTTCACCGAGCTGAAC